ATGTTTGTGAAGAAGACCAGAATCATGAACTATAGCAATACAATTATTAATTGTGAAAAATAAAAATTAATTAAAAAAAATCCTCAATTAGTCCGGGTAATTCGCACTATGCGAGGTATTCCTGTATGATAATTTGGCATAAACATATTTGATCTCTAAGATATTATTTCTTCTTAATATTCATTAAATTAATTACTATAATTTAGGCAGTCAAGTCTCTTTTTGTGCTGTTTATTTTTGCATGTACTTAATTGCTCGATTAGTCCGGGTAATTCGCACTATGCGAGGTATGATAATTTGGCATAAACACATTTGATCTCTCCGATATTTATTTCTTCTTAACATTCGCACTATTAAATTTAAATTAATTGCTATAATCCAGGCAGTCAAATCTCTTTTTGTTCTGTTTATTTTTGGATGTAGTTAGTTCCTCGATTAGACCGGGTAATTCGTACTATCCGAGGTATTCCTATATGATAATTTGGCATAAACATATTTGATCTTTACAATATTTTTTTCTTTTTAATATTCTTTAAATTATTTACTATAGTCAAGGCAACATTTTCTTGAAAAATACTATAAAAATAGAATTAATAAGAACAATACAGGACATTCATATTTTACGATCCAATTATCATTTTTAAATGACTAGTCATTTTTTTTATGCTACATACTTATTTGCTCTGTAAATTCTCAACGTAAGACCCATTAAACGAATAACCGTAAGATAATTTAATTTTAATGGTAAATTTATAGTTTTTCATTAATTTACCATACGTTTATAATACTTTGTATTTTTTTTATATTCCTTTAACAATTATTGTCATAACAAATTCATGCAGTGAATTATAATTTAATTATTTGATAATAAACTCACAAGTATTGAAACTATCTACTTTTAATTAAACTATGAAAAACGTTAATAATAATTTAATAAACAGTAACAAGATACAGTCACACCTCCATTAACGAATAAATTACTTCGTTAAATGAAACTTTGTTTTTAGAGATATGATCAACCGTTTTCAATATTTCCTTTTGACAGGAACTTCTTTAATTTTCGTTGTTTTTCTTGCTAAAAAGGTTTCCCACATCTTGCACTGAAAAACCATGATTTTCTGCATTCAATTAATTTTTAACATCCTTTTCATCAACATTTTCGAAATTTGCGTCAAACTCCGTTTAAACATTTCTCAATTACTTCTTTCCAAAAACTATCAATGTTTTTGGATAATTGAGAACTGTACTTAATTATATGCCTATAATAATTTAAATAGTTTCTTGCAAAATACCAAAGAAATGGAACACTAAGAATATTATTTTAACACTAATTTGTGAAATTTTGTGTTACTGCATTAATTTTATAAATATTTTTGTATATATGTCTTTGATAAATATTCAAATACACATGTTACTATAATTTGATTCATAACTCTTTGTAACTAAATTTTATTGCATTGTTTTATGTTCAATATCGTTACTATCATAAAAATATAGCACTTTCATATCGCGTTTATTTGTTAGAACTACAGAGGAATATTGATTACCCATAGAGCCGATTTCAAAAAGGGAGCGAGTGAGTATTTCGTGCTCCATCCGGCGCGCCAACTGTCGTGACTACGTTTTACGTGTAAAATGGACATTGCAAAACCTTTTATACCATAACATTTTTTTGTTCTACTCCTCTCGTTCGCTCTATTACGGCCATTGAAAAAACATTTTTTTTTTTACTTTTCCGCACTCGCACTTTGACACTCAACTTTCGTGCCGTTCCACCATCCGGGTGGGTACGCAACGGCCCTGATTCGATGCACAAACAATGCCGTGGGTGCAAACCAACATGAACCCAGGCGTGGTCGCACCTCCAGTTCTTTGCTTTACTTCTTTTCTTTCGCATTTATTGTTATTGCGGACGCAGGGAACGGGATTCAAGTTCTCCCGCTTGGCCTCAATTACGGTGCACAAATTTTTCAAAGGCCATGCGGACAATAACTTTTGAAGAGAAAGAGAGCGAAGAAGAAGAAACAAAAATTGCAAACACAATAGTTTCGTTTAATGCTCAATGTTACAGACGATAATGTCCAATTGCCTCTCCGGATAATCGCCGCATTTGGTGATCAGGATCTTCTCCATGGGAGCCCCATCCTTTCTAGAAGTGTCGTTGATCTTGCAGAGGGTTTTGTTGCCCTTGATGACTTTCCCGAAGACCAACCGTTTTCCATCAAGTTCGGGCATCGGGTTCATAGTCACGGAGAAACGCGAATTGTTTTTGTGGTTCGTGGTCAGGTCCAAACGAACCATCGATAACACACCTAGAATCAGCTATAAAAGCAAGAGATATCTCAACAAAACAAAACTGAAGAAAAACCTTGCTTCGTATGCTTCAAATCGTTCTCCTCTTCGTCAAAGGTAGGTCCGAAAATGGAGTGACCTCCTCTACCATTACCACAAGTAATATCTCCAGTCTCAAAGTATTTATCTCTTTTCGATCTGTAGATTTTGCAATTTTCATAAGTCCAACCTTTGTTGCCTTGACAGATGGTCAAGAAGTTCTTCACTGTGTTTGGGGCGCAATCCGCGTACAGCTCGATCACAACTCTTCCCAATTTTGTCAGACATGGACCCCATTGAATAGAAAAATCCATAAATACTCTAAACAATAATTTTATAATATGAACTGTACTTTAATTCTAGAAAATTGGACATACTTTGGTCGAGAATCCACTTGTACCAAACCGTTGCTAATAGATGGTTCATCTTGAAGTAAATCATCTAAAGGAGGTCCGTGAAGAGGTACCAAAGGATATTTGCACACGTCCTTCATTTGTTGATACTGCATTTTGTGGTTCTCCAAGTGCGCTTTTCGAGGATAATTCGAGTACTAAAATAATTATATAATTATAATAACCATATTATTTATAGCTGTGACTAACGCTTTCGCAAATCCTTTTGTACATAGCCACATTCTCCTTGTTGATCCTGTGCATGTTGTTAACGTGCGCCTGCCATTTAGAATTGGTCCTGAACGAATTTTCATCGGGCCAACAGTTTATAACACCCTGAGGACAATGATTTTAATCTTCATCTTTATTTAAAATGTAGGTGTTTTAGTGAACGTGCTTTGGTTCTGTTGATTATATTAATTTTGGCTATCAACTCCTTGTTATCACGTTCGATATCCCTCAATCGTCCTTCGTCCTCTTGGAATTTGCGCAAATTGATGTAATTGTACGGATTCATACCCGGCGGTTTCGCGTCGATCGCCGGAGTTGCGCTGAAAATCTTCAGAAGAATTGCATATGTTTACATAATATTTGCACCGTTTTTACATTGAATCGATGCATGTTGTATGTCTTAAGATCGGTGATGAGGATTTCCTTGGCTACTGAACCCGGTAAATATCGCGGCAATTTATAAGGCCTGAAGGCCTTTTCTCCTTTCTTCACCATTATACAAAAATAAACGAAAAAGAGAACAACGCCGACAAAAAAATAAAAAACTCCAATTGAAAAACCCAACCCCCCGAAATGGCAGAACGCACGTCAAAATTTTCCCATTTCGAAACATGTCAAAATTAAGTAGAATGTGAGATTGTAAATTATGTCCAGTTCGGAGATATCCTCGTCCTCAGATAATTCCAAGAATGAGGTTGGTGTTGAGGAGATGAAAAATGTTTGACTGAAGTTGAAGTTTTTCAGCTATGCCCGTGTTCGGCGAATACGTCCATCAAACCTGAGGATAGGGTGCCGTGCTTGGAGAGAGCCCTCTCCCAGACGAGGAACACTCTGAAAGCCAAAGAGTCGGTGGTAAAGATGCAGAAGCAGCAGCTGAAGAAGCTCGAGGATATGTACAAAAAATGTTTGGAGGAGAACGACGCACTCAGCTACGCAAACAAGAAAACGATGGACGATCTAGAGAACCTGAGAATTATCAATAAACAGGTAAGTCTTACTCTCTGCGCGAAACCTGTAACAGCAGTTCGAAAGTTTACAGTATGAAGGGAAAATCGTGAACACCAGCAACCATAGTAGCAGGAATGACATCAGTGATATCAATGAGTCCAGGTACAGAAAATTTCATTGTGAAGACGGTCTAATTCAATCTTAATATATTTTTTAGTAATAGGAGTAGCAAGGATAGTGGACACATGGTTAATAAGCATAGCATCCATGGAAGCACGGATGGTGAAGTCTGTATCTGCAGCGCCGATTGCAACGATGAATGCACCAAAGCCAATGATTGCGTAGAAGAAATTGTCATCGCTGAAGTTATGCCCAATTCAAATAGCATCGGAGATGGACACGAAAGCAGAACGCAGAATGTAGAATTAAACGATTCCAGTTCAACCAAAAATAATGAAAACTTTGTCGAAAGTAACGATAATGATGAAGAGCTTTGCGAATGTCCACACCTGAAACCCGAAGAAAAATCAGAAGAAAGCCCACAAGTAAGATCAGATCAGAGATCAAACAGTAATAGTCCAAGATCCAGCAAAAACGAAAGTTTAGATCAAGACCTGAATGCTGAGCAAACCGAAGAAACGAATTCGAATCCGAGTGAAGAATCTAATAGCAAAGACAAAGAAAGCATCACGCAAAGTCCAAAATTAAATAGTCTTGATGAAAGCAACAAAATTGAATCTGCAACTGTAGATCTCGAATCATGTATATGCCCTAACACCAGTTGCAGTAGAAAACCAGCAAGTATAAAATCTAATAGTCCAAATGAAGGAAGTGTTAAGAGCGGAAGCCTCAATAATAATAGTCATGAGAGTAGTAAAAAAGGAAGTGATAATAGTAGTGGGAGTGGTAAAGTCGTGGAAAACCCAAGCGTTATAACGGAAGAACTTCCAGCAACAAATTCTAATGAAAAAAGAAACAGTTGCGCGTGCCCGATTAAGAAACCCGATGCAAATTTACAATCAAAAAGCCAAATTGAAAATGTTGATGAAAAATTAAATGTTGACCATGAACTAAATGTTGATGCAGAAGTAAATGTTAATGAAGAAATAAATATTGATGAAGAAGAAAATGTTGATGAAGAAATAAATGTTGTAGAAGTGAATAGCAGTAATTATAGTAATAAAGGAAGTGTTACATCGGGAGAATTGGGTAGTCGAAAAAACAGCAATTCGAGTCCAAAAATTAGCGTGAGCAAATCTAATGAAAGCAGTAAGTTGATTCAGAATCGGAGTGTTCTCAGTGAGAAAATTGATGAGGTAGATCCTATTGTAACTAAAAAGAGTTGCGCTTGCAGTAACAAAAATCGCGATGGAAGTCAAAAGTCGAAGAGCGTTGATAGTTCAAATGAAAGTAACAAAGCGAGTGCTGAAATAATTGATGAATTACAAGCAAATGCTAGTGTAGACAGTTCTAAAAAAAGCAGCCAAGGAAGCACTGATAGCAAGTTAGTTGATGAACAGAGTGTTGGAAAAAGCAGTGTAAATGCGAGTAACGAAATGGAAGATAAGACTAGTGTTGGACGTTCAAATGAAGGAAGTATTAATAGCAAATTAGCTACCAGTGAAAGTGTTGGTGATGATGAAATTGCCGATCTAAATGCGTGTTTAGCAAAAGATAAAAAAAGAAAATGCGCATGTTCTTCCAAAGAAATTAATAAATCTCAAAGTTTGATTGTAGGAGATCAACAAAGCGTAACAAGTAGCAAGAAAGGAAGCGTGTCTTCGAGCGTAAAAGGAAGTCCAAAGAAGGAAAGTATAAGTTCTAAATCGAATAGTGCAAAAGAAGGTAATGGTAGCTTACTTGGAGATGAAATGAAAAGTATACATTCAAGTGTCAAAAGCAGCGAAAGCCCTAAATCCAATAACAATGTCGAAACGGTTGCTCAAAGTTCCAGATGTGGCTGTGCCGTCGGTCCAATGCAGGAAACTGAGTTATCAAATGATAAAATTTTAGTTGAACCTGTTTCACAGCAGGATCGTCAAACGGATCCTGATATAATCGATAATGAGGTTGGGTCATTGAAAACAAATAGCGTTGAAAGCGACAATGTTCCTGAAGAAACTATAAATTCGGTAAACGAAAAGAAAGATTGCTCTTGTCATGTTAAGAGTTGCAAGCAAAATATGAATGCTGATGGCACTCATAGTCCGAAGAGTCAGAATAGCGCAAAATCAAATAGTCTTAACTCTAGTAAAAAGGGTAGTTTGGATGGGAGTGAAAATCACAGTCAAGATTCAAGCAAAAAAGGTAGCTTAAACGGTAGTGAAAACCCAAGCCACGCAAGTCAAGATTCAAGTAAGAAAGGAAGTTTGAATGGAAGTGAAAAGCAAAGTCAAGATTCAAGCAAGAAAGGAAGTCTGAACGAAAGTAAGCATAAAAGTCAAGATTTGAGTAATAACAGCCATAAAAATGGTGGTAGTGAGATTGAAATAAAGAAGACTGGAAAAGGATGCGGGTGTGCTATTTCAAGCAGCGTTAAAAGTTCGAGTTTGACACCCGATGTAATTAAAGAAGAAAGTCAAGATTTAAGCAAAAAAGGAAGTTTGAACGGAAGTAAACTTGAAAGTCAAGATTCAAGCAAGAAAGGAAGTTTGAACGGAAGTAAACATGAAAGTCAAGATTCAAGCATGAAAGGAAGTTTGAACGAAAGTAAACATGAAAGTCAAGATTCAAGCAAGAAAGGAAGTTTGAACGGAAGTAAACATGGAAGTCAAGATTCCAGTAATAATAGCCATAAAAATATTGGTAGTGAGAATGAATTGAAGAAGACTGGAAAAGGATGTGGGTGTGCTCTTTCAAGCAGCGTTAAAAGTTCGAGTTTGACACCCGATGTAATTAAAGAAGAAAGTCAAGATTCAAGCAAGAAAGGAAGTTTGAACGGAAGTAAACATGAAAGTCAAGATTCAAGCAAGAAAGGAAGTTTGAACGGAAGTAAACATGAAAGTCAAGATTCAAGCAAGAAAGGAAGTTTGAACTCAAGTAAACATGGAAGTCAAGATTCGAGTAAGAACAGCCATAAAAATAGTGGTAATGAGAATGAGATGAAGAAGACTGGAAAAGGCTGCGGGTGTGCTATTTCAAACAGCGTTAAAAGTTCGAGTTTGACACCCGATGAAAGTATCAAATCAAGTTCAAAAACCAAAAGTATCACAAGTTCAGATGCAAGCCCAAAAAGTAAGAGTACAATCAATGCAGATGCAAGCCCCATTGGAGAGGAAAACTCTCCAAAAGATAGCAAAGTCTCAAGCACTACTTCAACCTTGTAAGTGTGATTGGTTTTCATATTTATTTATGTGTTCGCTTTACAATATACTCAACATTTTTTTATTTATAATATACAGAAAAGCGGGTTTGGCGGCAAACGTTACGTGCGTGAAGAATATTAAGATTGTTCTTGAAAGCCAGAATTCCAAGCTGGAAACGATCTTAACATTATTGCGTGCTCAGGGTGCTAGCAGCAACTTTGAGGAACTGCGCGATGAGATTCAAGTGCTGAAGAATATGCTGCATTCGAACAAGGAAACTGAGGATAATTCGAAGTATTCACAGCTGGAGGAGCTGAATCAAACATTAGAGATTGAGATCTTAGATCTACGTGAACAGCTACAAAAGAGTCAAAAGGGCATGGAAGATCTGGGAATGATTCTCATCAACGACATTACTCATCGATCCAGCGATATTGCAAGGAACATCAAGAGTAAATTTGACAATAAATGTTACGTCAGTGAAGATGCCGAGTTGATAGCTAGTAAAATCGAGCATTTCTTGCAGGAGGTCGCAGCTCTACATTCCATTAACCCTAGAGTAATAATGATTTTTTTCCAATCTCTAAAATTATTTAAATATGTTCCTTTTGTTTAGGAAAATCCGGAAGTTGTGGACAACGTTCGATCTGATTTGCTGATAGATGGAAAACTGAACATCTTTTCTCTGGAGACGAAGGTGAAGGAATTGGATAGAGCAGGCGACGAAATTTTGACACAGATCAGAACTTACAATAATGAGTTGGAGGAGATCAAAATGTGCCTGTTGAAGAAGGCTGAGGGTTTGAAATCTAAAGTGGATAAAATGACACCGCGCGACTTGGTTTACGATGACCATCCCGAGGATAAAAAGCATAAGAAATCATGCAATGCATGCTTCAAAGATGAACAATCGTACGTGGATGAAATTGCTCAATTGAAGCAGGAGCTGGCCAAAAAGAAGGAGGAGATAAGGGCAATACATGGAGTGGGTTGCGAGGCTATTCCTGAATACGAGAAGGAGATAGAGAATTTACGAACGCAGTTAAAGCTGTTGCGAAATGAATTGGATGAGTACAAGAAAGAGGTGGGAAGGGGGAAGGAGAAATCGCAAAGCATCTTTATTGAAAAGGACGATCAGCTTAAAAAATCGAACTTGGAATTGGGGTTGCTGAACGAGGAATTTAGTAAGGTCAACGAGGAGTACACTAAGTTGCTTGAAGATTACGACAAAAGCCAAGCGGAAATTCAAAGATTGAACGATCAAATTATGGAATTCTCTGACAAACATAAAGAGAAGGATTCAGCAATCTGCAAGTTCAAAGATACCTTCAAGGATCTAACGGAAGAGCTGAAGAACGTCATGGCAACAAAATGCGCATGCGAGGAATTGCGGCTTATATTGAAGCAGAACGAGGAGAAGATGCTGGAATTACAGAAGGTCAATGATCAGTTAGAGACAGAGCTTGAAGGATTCAAAGGAAAACTGACCAAAGCGAATGAGACCAGCGAGTATTTCAATGAAAAATTAGAGGAAGCTCTTTGTGATTGTGATAAGTACAAAGCGCAAATTCACGAGGCAAAGAACTCCAATGCTAAACTGAAGGCCACTTGCTGCAAACTGGAAGAGATTGCTGAGCAGCACAGGAAGGCGAAGGATAGTTACAAGAGGGAGTTTTGCGAGTACGTGAAAAATTGTCCGTCAAAGTTGCCCACCAGCACGTGCAACATACAAAGTCGTAGGAGGATTAGTAATAAGGTGTTGATGGATTCGATGTGTTGCGAGAACACGAGGAAGAGCAATGTCGCTCAGCCCGATCTTCAACGCATCATCGCTGAATGCGAACAGTACAAATCGAAACTGGACAAAATAAGCTTGAAGATTCAGAGGCACGCAAAGGAACACGCCGAATACAGGCAGGAAGCAGAGAACAAGATCGTTGCATTGACCAACGAAAATGAGAAGCTCAAGAGGCAGGTCATGGACGAAGGCTGTCCGATAATCAGAGGGATGAAATGCTGCGATAATGTTAATATTCAGCTTTGCGAGTTACGAGCATTCGTCACTGCAGCCGATGCCCATCTGGAACAAATCGTTACAGCAAAACTCAAAGCCAAAGAGATTCTTGAGAAGCTGACCTACAAAACATCTAGCGTCTGCCAATACGTTTGCAATTATGACACGATCAGCATGGGCACGAGCACTAGGAAGAAAGAAAGCAAAAACGAGGACATTAGCTTGAGGATGTCCTTTGAAGTTGAAAACGAGTAATCCAAGTACATATTTAATCTTCACATTGATTTACTTACTTCGTTTTCCAGGAAATCGAAGAACGTTTTTCCCAGCACCCAGATGCTCATGACTAACACCAGTAGCCTCGAGAATCCTTTCGTTGGTGATGCCGTCACCATGACTGAAGAAGTTGATGGTAATAAATCTGTTTGTTGATATAGCTGATATACTACGAATTTATTTCAGAAATCAAAGACTATTTGAAATGCGTCAAGTGCAGTAAATGCCCTGAAAAGTCTGAATGCACTGTATCCAAAGAACAGAAGACCAAAGACTCTTCAGCCGGCAAAGAGTGAATGCAATTTAGTAGTGTATTTTACAGTTTTTTTTTTAATTTTTTGTTCACCTTCTTTGTTTCGTCTTAAATACAGTTATTTCGATCATTACAAAAACGGAGAAAATTATTATTTACTTTATATATGTCATAATTCATATGGAAATTCGAATGTTCATTTCTAAAGTTTAGATTTAATTAAACTATAGGGTATGAAAATAATTCTATAATAATCAAAATACAATACAAAATATTTGAATTGATCTGAAATAGAACAACAAAATATTTAAATAAATCCAAAGAACTTCAGAAAATAAGCACTTTATTATAAATTCTTCCTAACATAAATATGTTCTTCATTATAACACACTATTTAGATAACAAAAATATTTCACACAAAATTTTGAAAGGTTTTTAACAATAATGAACAAAAATAATAAGATTATTAAATAAAAATAAAACACAAAAGAAGTATTGAAGTATTCACATAAAACATTGTTTTTTTTTTATAAATATCAGTAGAGAATGCAATGTCAAACATAAAATAATATCTAACAGCTTTGGGATTGACTTTTTGGTTCGGAAGATTGACCAGTACCAGTTTTCTTTGGCAACAGAATTGCATTGATGTTTGGCAGCACTCCACCTTCGGCAATGGTGACTCCTGATAGCAACTTATTTAATTCCTCATCATTCCTCACAGCTAGCTGCAAATGTCTGGGCATGATCCTACTCTTCTTATTATCACGGGCAGCATTCCCTGCCAACTCCAGCACTTCTGCAGCAAGGTATTCCATCACAGCAGCTGCATAGACGGAGGCTCCGTTACCAATTCTGTCGGCGTAGTGTCCTTTACGGAGAAGCCGGTGAATCCTTCCAACAGGGAATTGGAGACCTGCTTTGGTGGATCTGCTCCTCTTCACATTGGTTTTGTCTGCACGTCCACTCATATTGACAATGTGAGGTCTTTAAATGTAATTCAGAAAACTATAATTCTTATAGGTACAACAGTACACCAAACGGACAGTTTGGGAGAATATTAATAACCAGTAAGAACCAAAAACGAACTACAACGGATTCTTTTTGACAATACGAATTGACTCATTTCAAAGCGCGGGAAAAATAACAGATAAACCCATGGTCACAAACGCTACAAAGTTGAATTCAATACCAACTGAATGAAATAAAACTAAATTTTGTTTTGATCATTGCTTAAAATCCTTCAATATATTGACAAATCAGTACAGATGTAATCCGTATACTTAATTTTTACGTTCTTAGTTCAAAGAGATTTAAATATTCATTACATTTTCAGTAAGCGTTTGAACTTCATATATGAAATAGCCTAAAGCTAATCATTATCATGATATAAATATATTTGTATCATGAATCATAATAGCAAATATTGTTTCTATATTTTATGTAAAGTTAATTTGTTTTTAAAGATTTTCAGGTATGCGCATGCGCTTGAGTGCGCGTACATAGTTTTATTCATTTTTTTTTAGATCGCTTAAGAAAAAAAGCTGCATTAGTTTGTGAGCGCTTTTTAGTATTATAAGTTGTATTGTTAGTTGTGTTAAAATTAGTGAATTATTAGAGTTTGTACAATGTCTTCTGAATTCTCATCTACTAAATTGTATTTGAGCCATTCCAGTTTAAGTGTCTACATTAATATATTTCATAATTCTAATTTGGAGCGTAATCACCTGTTAACAAAACAGGATTTAACAAATATTAAAAATGGTTATAGAATTCGCAACGAAAGTGATACACCAAGTTTAGATGTGTGGTTGAACGAGATGGACAATTGCTGCTACATTCCAATATATAAACCAAAGAATGAGTACTCCACAGAATTCCCGTTTCTGAAGAAAGAGGATTTTGTTTTAGTCCTTATAAATAAATGGCAATTGCAGCAGCTCATGGATTATGAATCGAACTTCATTTGCGTAGATAGCACACCTGGCCTAAACGACGATGGATTACAGTTGCACACTTTAAGTGTATTAAAAGACTCAGAAAAGGGGTTCCCTTGTGCTTTCTTAATCTCAAATCGAACGGACGAACAAATATTGTGTTTATTTTATTCCGGTGTTAGGGAATGCTGTGTGTGCAAAATAAGGACACAAGTGTTTATGTCGGACATAGCCGATTATTATTATGATGCTTGGGTGCAAGTGATGTATCCAGCAGAACTTAGGTATGATATAATTGATTGATGTGTGAGTATAACTAAAATATATATATTTTTTTTTAGATTATTTTCTATATGGCAAGTGGACCAAGACTGGATAAATCATTTAAATAAAATTAATTCCAGAGAGAAACAGGTATGTATAGAATGGTAAAAAACAAATTTAATATGTATGTTTGTTTTTATATTTTTAGATTGATGTCTATGGAAAATTAAGAATCCTACTCTACGAAACAGAAAAAAATACATTTGAGACAATGATTCAGCAATTTGTGCAATCACTTTTAGAAGATAAAGCCACCTTGAATTTTGCAAGATATTTTCAAGTGAATTATTTCCATAAAGTTTCGGTTTGGGCGCTCTGTTACAGATTGAATTATGACAAAGATACACAGTTGCATCTGGAAAGGATGCACAGGACAATAAAATACCTGTTCTTGGATAACAAATATTTGAAACGGTTTCATATGTTTTTTAATGCCACATTGACGTACATTAAAGACAAACTGTTTGATCCAACAATTATGTCAGATCCAATGGTAGTGTGGTCGAAAACGGCGAGCATGAAAAATAAGCATATCGCCAGTATGTCTCTAGACTTGTCTTCAGTGATGGTTACCCAATGGGGCGGTTTTAACGTTTATGATATGAATCATATTTATGCAGTTCAGAAGAATAACGACCTCTGCTCTTGCACTGTGATCTGTTCAGAATGTGAGGTATGCATGCATGCATATTCCTGCACATGCATTGACTATGCAGTCAAGTGGAAAATGTGCAAACACATTCATTTGGCTTTACGTTATAAAAAGACGTATCCTAAATTATGCGCAAGAGTGGAGGAAAAACATTCTGCAGGTAATAATTGCGTTTACTATCGAAATTAGATTTGATTATTTTGTCATTTTCTTACAGATAATTACGAAGACGAGAGTGAGGAAACGACAACAACGGACTCTATTGCCAAAAGGCCACAAGACACAACAGTACAGGCAAGAGTAAACGAAATGAAAATGATATTTGAGGATGCGATCAAAAAAATCAATTCGCACAATATGTGCGATGCCTTAGCAAAAATACTTGCTCCAATTCATCCAACGTTGGACACTATAAAAATGCTAGAGTGAATAGCATTGAGATATTACCATTGGACATATGTTATTTATTTAGAAATCCTGTTTTCTAATTGTAATTTTTATATAGAAGTTATTTTTTTATATTTTCTAAATGAGACATTGTTAATACTTTTACAGTTTTCTTTAAATATATTCTTATATTTAAATTATTATTATTTAATGAACTCTTTATTTCATTCATCCTGTGATTCGTGAAGATTGTGTGTGTGTTTTCGTTGTGTATTACATATAGTCAAATTAAGTATTCGCATTCCTATCAAAGTTGAGAAACTTCCCTGGTTCAACGATTGTATCAGGGAGTAAGAACATCATTTCAAGCTCATTATCTACATCGAACGTTATGTAAATTAATTAAAGAGGTAATGAGAGAACACTTTTTGGAAATGACATTAAAAACGCAATTGAAGACATTCGAAATTATCAAAGTCACTAAAAAGTGTTTAAATTGAGTACGACCTTTGAGGGTCTCAATAAAACATTTAAAGACTAATAAAGTCTCAGCAGAACCTTTGAGGACAAGTATAGTCTCATAAAAACCTAAGACGAGCAGTCTCAGCAAAACTAATTAATTCCTACAATTGAGACTCCAGAATGACAACACCAGAATCCACTGTGTCCAGAATTCCATCCCTGGGACACGACACATGACCATAACAAGAAAATAATAAGTTCTCACATTTCTTTGTTCGAAAAAAATGCTTTTCATTTACTTTCCGCATGAAATTCTTGACCACAGCATTTTTACTTCTGATAACGAAGATTTAAGTAATTTTATGCACTGTACATTCGTTAATAGAGGTATAACTAACTTGTCTATAGTTTAGTGTACATGCATAAACAAAATCGTGCAATTTTTACAAATTTTCTTGTCAATTTATATTTTATTTACATTCGTTGCTGATTCATTCATACCAATCAAAGTTTGTCACCTTATGAATGAACAATTTGAGAAGAAAGTTCTTATAATTATGGATTTAGATCAATGGTTTCTGTTGATTTCAAAAAATCTTTATTACTTTCTTATATTTGGCTACGTTTTAAACGCATTTCAATAACACTTTGATTTATATTGTATATTTAAAACTGTATATGTAAAAAGTCGCACATAAATAAACAAAAGTTAACAATTTCAACAATACATCTTCTCAAAGGAGAGACAGAGAAAACATAAATAAGACTCGAAACTCTTTACAGTTGTACTTTTTTTTTTATATATATATAACAAATATTTTTATTCATTATTCAATAATAAATAGTTAAAAAACAAATCAAGGGCAGAGAGGATTTTCAATCAATATAAACAATATTAATATTACTATTAGATCGTGTGGTTAAAGAGACTTACATTATATCTATGTAATAATAGTAATAATAAAATTTCATAAGTATTTTTTTTACATATATATATAGAATTTGATTGCGGACAGTCTATAAAAAACATTTCATTCAAATATATATTTATACAATAGACGTAATATAATCTATAATATAATTTATAATATTTCTCATATCTCAAGGCATTCACGTAAAGGTTGTTTGTTTGTTTAAAACACTTCCTGTTACTTCCACTGAACAAAAAAATAACAAACGAATTAATAATAATAAGAATAAGTAAACAAATTACAAAAAAAAATTAACAAGAAATAAAACATCCACTAAATTATTGCAAATAATAAATATAAAAAAAAATAAAACTATATTGAAAATAAAAAGTTGTAGAACATTCGGTTTAAAAGCTGGAATAAAAAATAAACTGACAACAACAAAAAGAGAGAGAGAGTAAATTAGTAATCTTCATAAGTTTAAGCACGTTGATTGTGTTTTTATTTTGTATTTTGTAAATGAAATATATTTTGTAAATTGTCTGCGCCCATGATAGAGGAAAATGATTGTTTATAAATTTTCACATGGATGGATTCTACGAATTTAAACATAAATAACTTCTTCTTTACTCTAGTTAAGCACACGCAGGTCAACGGCGATAGAACAAATATCTTCTTCGTTCTCAAAAAAAAAGTTAATAATATATGGCACACGTATTATTGCAAAGTTTCACTCAGTAATTCGTGTTTGTTACAAATTGTTATTTATAGCAGTATATTATAACGATGATGAACCGTATGTATGCAATGTACCAGATGGATGAAAATATCGTATTTTTTATATATATATATATAAATTTACAAACTCTTCTGAATTGACATGCAAACAACATTTCTCTTAAATTATGAATATAACAGAAATTGCTCTTATAGGCAGAAAAAAACAAAAGGTAATGAAACAATAACAGCTACTTGGTGTTTGTTAAAACTTCGTTCGTTAAGGTTGCGTTTCGATGGAAACGCGGAGAAATGATTCGTTCCAACAATAGCATATATTTCTAGTGCGCTGCTCTAGGTTTATATATCTTCTCTTTTTTCTTTTTCTTCTTTTCACAATATATATATATATTTATAAATATTTATATCTCATTAACTAAGTGTGAATTCTAAGTATTTCCGTATATCTTCCAACCGCTTAAGTACAGAACGTAAAAGACCTGGTTGGCCGCGGCGCGGATCTTCGCCGGGGCCAGGCATTGTTCGTTATGACTTCCTTGGCAGAAGCTGGTGCTTCTCCTCCTCCCTGCTCAGAATCTCGTCCATGGGGTTCGGCTTCACCGAACCGTTCAGCTCGTGGATGCCGCCGCTGCCGAAGGAACGCATCACCGTCGGACTCAGATGGGATTTGACGGATGGCGTCTTCGGACTGGCGTTCTGGCTCATGTTCACAAGCACCTCGTGTACTGAGAGTCTCTTCTTCGGCTCCGGCGAATTGGTACCGATACTACCGTCCTCCTCCAGAGAGTGCAGCAGCTGAAACACAGAGCAAGCAGAGCGATAGAGTCACGTTCCTCGCATTCGTCGTAATTACCAGCTCCCCCCAAACCCTGTGTATTTCCCACAAAAAAATATAAATAAATATTGTCCAAAGTGATATCAACAATAGTGCATTCCATTATTGTCCCGAAAACACCGTATGCGGCAGGCTTGTAAAGTACACAAAAGGACAAACTAATAAGTATCGCAAAATCAATGCAGGTCTCCACAGCTACTCTCCACATGATACTTTCCAAGTAACAAGTCAAAATAAGCAGTTTATTGCCTTCACTTCTGTACATGAACGTTTGAAAGATTATTTATTAATTCAATTATTCAAAGCACATCCAGTTAGGCGAGAAAGTTTAACTATATAGTGGGGTTTTGTACAAAAAAAAGGTTGAAATGTTTTCCAAAAAATCAATGAAAAAAAAAATTATAAAAGTTATTATTTTCATGAAAACGTAATACTTTACGTAATAATATACATATACATATTTAAATATAAAGTTTGTATATGATTGTGATACATGTAAATTCTGCTAATAATAAAACTGTTATTAACATACAATATAAATGTTTTAAATTCCATTGTAGAAATTGTTGAAAATAATAGATTCGGTTGATATTAGCACATCAAAAATACCAAGCAAATCTTGTTATGGTTTAAAAAAGGAATACTTGCCTACGACGTAATCAATAAGCTTAAAATTCCTTTGTGCAGTACACCTGTACTGTCAATTTGAAGCAGAATAAATACATAAATTCGAACAGTAAATACATGATGTAATCAATGACGTAATTCATGATGTAATCAAATCGACCGATGCTGCTTAATAAAGAAATTCTTAAGTTTCCTAAAGACATATCCTTTGTTAATATGTATAATTCATAATTTTAATATACCTGCTTTTTCACCTAATTAACACAACTGTTAGTTCTAATATTGCAGACTAAAATCTATACTTGATAAACAAAAAACAGATTGACATTTATAAACGAGACATCAAAAATCTTGTTGAATTATTTTTGTTAAAATTCCGCGCTGTCAGATGCTCTTCAAATTTAGCCCACGTATTTTCAAACAGAGAGAATATCATATTTATAGCATTAAGTACAAGGATCAAAGTCTCTCAACATTATACAATTTTATTTAGATGCATATTAACAAACCTGAAGTACTATTAATAAAATAATTTAAATTGAAGTAAATTCAGCAATTACTGTCTCAAAATAGGTATAAAATTATTTTCAATATCTAAAACTTAAAGATTATTTTTGTACTTATTGAATACCGTTATTTTTTAATTTTGTACATTTATTATGCAGTCAACAATGAAATACACACTGACATAATATGGATTTTGAAACAATCAGTAATAAACCAATAAATAGAGCTTATATTCTTATCATTGTCCTATTTGTGTAATTTCGGAGCCAGAGCCGATGTAGATTTTAGTGTAGCGAAACAAAAGTGTTAGAAACAGTGATTATTAATTGACGGGACAACGCTTTTTATTCCTTCACTTATGTTACGACACGTAATAATGAGATATATATATATACACAAACTCACAAAATACCGGCTTCTGCTGTTTGCAAGTGCGTACGTGTATGTAAGAGAAAACAACATTAGATAGGACAATACAATACACATCATCAAGCCGGTCAAATGGGATTAGAGACACAAAAATAAAATATTAATGTTGTTTTGCATTGGATTAAAGACTCTATGCGGCGGACAAATAGTCTTATATAAACAACAACAAAAATATGTATATATGAGTATAAAAAAAGGTATACCTGGTCGGAGGTGCCATCAACAACAGCAGACTTTTCAAAACGCAACGCAAAATCGTCTGATTCGTCATCAAACAACTAAAAAAATCAGGGAGATCAGAGTGTAGGATTCTGTTTCATGGGTGACTAAGTTCTTCGTATACGATATATAGAGTGAGAAACAGAGCTTTCAACGTAATTGGGTTTCGAAATTTACAAAATAAAGGACATCATTGAAATACCTTTTCCACTTCGTCGTCGAATTGATCTGTGGAGGCCGTCGTGTTGTCCCGCTGCGATCTCTCCATCAGGGAAGCCCTTTTTGCAGCCATATACAGGTTTCTCTTCACTTTCATGTAGAGGACTTCGGAACAGGCCCGCACCGTGTAGTCCGGTTGGAAGGTGAATCTCAGCATGCTGTCCATGTTGAGTGATTGAAGACTACCGAGCGTCGACGGTGATTCCACTGAAATTGAAGAAGCATTGATAATTGCGAGTTTTTGAGAGCCGAATGAGAGATCGTACCGACGCCGACGTTCTGGATCAGGGCTTGCGTTCCGAAGTAGGTGAATGCTCCGCTCTCGAACATAAGGTTCTCTGTGCCGACCGTCACCTCGACTCTTCCTTCGAGGATCAGAACGAAGTAGTCAGCTGGTTTACCCTGCTGATAGATCACAGCCAGCGGGTCGTTCCTCCAGTCCTTGGTCTTCTTCACGTGATTGATGATGTCCTGCTTTAGCAGTCGCCTGAGTATCGTCTCCGAGATGGTGTTCGTCTTGAAGAGTTCAACACCTGCGATTCGTACAATAAATTAGCAATGATAGTTCCGGTTCAGCCTAGAAAGCAGTTCGTACTCGTGCTCAGGTATTGGAATGCCGCGAGCGTAAGTTGCGGACTGATCCTGATCCTGTTATTTTCGCCTCGTCGCTCCGCGAACACCGTGAAATCCTGCTTGGTCCTATCCGCCCTGCGACGTTTCGACCGATTGTCGGCTGCAAAACAACATCACACATATAGAGAGAGAGAGAGAGACAGAACATCATGGATTAGTTAGTATCGAGCGGAAGGGCTGTGAAGGCAAGTGAGAAAGGGGATGCCACACAACATTTTGCACCATCCAAGGTCGCGTATCGGCGAATTGGGCGCAGCCCAAAGAAAATCAATGCAATCTACACCAAAACATAACTATACATTCTCACACACGAAAGACATTAAACTGTACTAAAGACTTTTTGCTTTCGGAAAATCAACATCAACAAACAAAGCTGTTTACTATTTTTCAAACTATCAATTTAATTATGTTTTATACATATTGTTTAATACTCAGACCAAAACATCTGTATTTAAAAATATTCTATTTTATACTAAATAAAACAAATGAATTTCTACTGAATTAACTCATCAGAAGTTACTTGAACTTCAATAAAAAAAAACAATGCAAATTTTACTTCTCATTTCATTTTATATATATATATATATTACGAAATAAGTAATAAACTAGATTTACTTAACCAATTATAATTGATTTTGTAAAATTTAGATTTATTTCAATTCATACTTTGTATTTTGATATTACCTTTTTTTAAATTTATTTTCTTGGCTTGATTATGTTGAAAACTCAGCATCTGTATAATAAACATTAATTTCTGAGAATTCTATGAGAATAAAATAGTCTCAGTAAATAAGTTGAGAAGTATTTCTTTAGTTCCGTTACGCAACGCGAATGAAAACAATTGTGCAGCGAAATGAATATTCACCGACAACAAAAATTCAATGTGAAACCGATGATGCGAGAAATCTTTAAAATTGTTATGCGAATATGAATGATGAAATGAAGGTGATAATAGCCAGTGTCGTCTTTTGGATTTTGAGACCTCTGGTATAAATGTAGATTGGGACCCACAGTAAATAAAAAAAAGGAATACATTGTGTAAAACTTCAAATTTTCATGGATAATAAAAAATATGAACGGGGGAGTAAATTTTTAAAGAAAAAAAATAGACTCACTAAACACATCCGTTTCGTCCATGATCTCAGCCTGGATGAGCTCCTCGATGACATCCTCGAGGGTAATCAAACCGATGGTCTCGTAAAACGGATCGCCCTCGCCCTCATTGTTCACCCTATTTACGAAAGCCATATGCCCTTTATTACCTAGGAAGCGAAAACTTTAAAATGCTGCCCAGCAAAGAACACAGAAAACACACAGCAAATTTTCATATCATATGACTTCTCAAATATTATAACATCTTAATTATTAACGGCATTTCTCTCAATTATTCTTTGTTTTTAGTACCGCTATGCATTTTATATATATATATGTATGATATGTATGTTTGTATTTTTTTTGTAAATCTCGAACTATTGGGTGTATTGTAGGCATATAAACCTTCTTTGAAATCTTTGAACATGACGTCGAGGGTGACGTCTTCGAAGACGAAATTGCACGGGTTCTGGTAGAATTGGCTCAACGTCTTCAGCGGCGTATTGTCGTCGGGGTCTACGAACGCCAAGTCTTTGATGTACAGGGTCGTCACGATGTTCTTTCTGTCGTTCTCAAACACCGGTATCCGCGAATATCCTGTGCAAACACACACAAAACAAATACGCACAACGTTAGTTGGGTTTCCTTGCACAATAAAATATAAATTAGTGAGAAATAGGTTTGTAAAGTAAATACGGGGAAAGTTTGACTATTTGTTTTGCAAATTCAATTAGAATCCGACCGTCGACTACTGAGAAACTGAAGCTCTATGTGTTTGTGGAATAATATTGTTTTCGCTGCTTTCAAAAGTAAACACAATCATTAAAATCGTACTCCTATAGAACAAGAATATGACGGAATATAAAAGGAGTCACAAAATTATATAAGTCAACAAATCATTGAAATTATTTCAAATTCTTTATTTTCTAATTATTTTTTAAGTTTTTAAAATCCTGTGTTATGAAACTTTAAAAAATGACAATAGAATAGAAGACGTTGGTTTGTTAACTAAGTATTCTACTTAGTTCTAAAATTAATCAACAAATTCTTCTGATAAAAGTTAAATATTGTACACTTTGTGTCTCACCAGATTTCATGATCTCAGAAACTGTCTCGAAGTTGAGGATGGCCTCGTAGTCCAACATAAAGGCATCTTCGATCTTGGTCATAACCTCGGCGACGGCCTTCTTGCGCAACTCCAGAGCGCCGCTGATGATGTTCACCTCGTCCCTATCCAAATCGTTCTCTCCTGTCGTAACCTAAGCAACAATAACAACATAATTAAAAGAAGAACAACAATATAAATAAAACAATAACAACAAGAAGAAATTTTAAAAAGGAAATGAATAAAGCAAGAAATTTAAAGTATGGTATTATGCAGGGAAACAAGGCAATCCGAGCAGTATAGAGTTGAATGCCATTCCCGTTGCAGCATTCCAGCGCATTTCATAATCTACATGCGAAATTGAATAATTCGTGTCCGTTTCCGATTACCGCACGCCGCATGCGAACTGTATCAAAGAATTGTTCGACCGCAGACCAAAAAAAATAAATAAAATAATCGCAAAACAGTAAATAATCGCGATTATTGCATTTCCAAACAATGATACATGTTAATTAATGAATCGGCAATGAAGCTACTACAGTGTACACTGTACATCATTTATTTGAATTACTATTATATTACGCAAGTTTATTGTTAATAATGAATTTCAACTTAACCGTTTTAAACTACAAACGTATTCATTTCAATCAAATTTTTGTTACAAATAATGTAATCATTTATAATCAAACAATTCTTCTTTTTAATTAAACAAAGAAACAATTAATTAAGAGATAATGTTCAATAATTCAAAATGAATCAATTACAAACATTCCAAGTAAATGTTATTTTAATGGGAATTATAAGTTATGTTATATAATTCATTAAATTTGCTTTAAACAATCCATATAAATCTATTGTATAAGTAATAATAAATTCTCATTTCAAATCAGTCGTTTATGTATATGATAATAAACAACCTTACTTATATAATTTAAGCTGAAACATGGATATACATATTTATTTATGCAATAAAAATCAGAACTTTTTTGTTTAGCTATTCTAGAGGCCAGAAATTCCTAAATTCCTTCCAGACCCAACAAATTTCTAGACAACTGAATCAGACAGCTACCTCAACTGAATTAACATCAAGATTCATCTTTTGGCATACCCACCAAATTAAAAGATAATTCCTGGACATTTCTTAGAAAATTATAATAATGCCCCACTAAGCATGTTCAAAAGGAGGGAAATTGCGTGTCCCAGCGCCCCCCAAAGAGTTAAGTTAATATAAATAATGTTTTACTACAAATTTTGAAACAAAATACTTTAATTCTCAACCTTTTTGACAATCGACCCAACATATAACATTGTTGACACTTTGACAGTTGTCACTGTCAACTTATAGTCAACTTCCTGATAAACATATGTTCGTAAACATGAAAATGTAAAGATATTAATTGACAATTAGTTTTTGGTTGTATCAATTATAAAGCAAATGCGCCGAATTTTTAAAGTTTCTTATTGAAATCAATGTCTACATATATTTATTTATTTATTATTATAAAATTTGGATAATTATTTAAACATAATTTTGTACTCTGCATAACTTTGTACTCGGCAAAATCCCGCACAGTAATTGAAACCGTACTAATCGAGGACTTTAAAACCGCATAAAAATAAACAGCACAAAAAGAGACAAACAAAATCTATCATTTATGTACCAAATTTGTTTTTGAAATTTAACTTTCATTAAAACTTTAGCAAAAAAAAATCAATTTGCAATAATTGCAGATAAAAATGCATTTATTATATTACTACGTGTTGCTATTTTTAGTGACCATTGCGTAATCTACAATGGCAAGGTGAGAAACGGTTGGCACAAATTTCCACAGGAATTCCAAACATTTTTGTAAAACTTGTAGTGAACCTCATTTCTGTTTTCCCTCCACACACATATCTAGAATGAAATACGTGAAAAGAGACGACATCGCACGAAATGGGAGAGGAAGATAACGATTTTTATTTTAGGTCAGTAGTGCCTCTTATCACATAGACCGAAAATAAAAAAAACATAACACACAACAATAATATGACTATCTCAATATACATGTGAAGCACACTGTTCTGTTGGCATTAATTTATAGTTCAATTTCCTCACTTTTCTTATATTACAATTTGTATAATTTATTGCATTTTTACTGTGTTCTGTACACAACATTTTCAAGTTTTGTTAAATAAAAATTATATAATAACGCATAGAGCACATTCCGCTTATAATATTAATAAACAGAACATTGATAGAAAATGTAGAGTAAGTTTTGATATGAACGCAATTAATCTGTAGTTGAGTCAGCAATTTTATTTGTGAGCTGCACAACATATTCCAATAACATTTAGTTAAGTGCGCCTGAATTTTGATGCATTCCTTCTTCCTACAACATGTTTATATATAATACAAGTATAAATATTCATCAACTTGTAAGGCAGAGCAGGAATTCTCAATTAAGGCGCAAACGTCTGGAGATTCGAGTGAAGTGGTATTCGCATCGTCTCTGGGGGGAATACAACACATCAACCGTATTTCACCAGACTCTACGTCGTCGTCACCTTTTCTAAGACGCCCGTTTTCATTAGTAATGTTATTTGAAATACATCCGAATGCGCATCAATTGTATTCAAAGTTTGTTTTGCAAAAGACGATTTACTCATAAGTACATATATTACAATAGGTACAGTTCATCATTATTTAAATGAATCACTGAATTACGGACACTTATTAGTCATAAATATCAATTTGAAATAGAATTGGAAAATCTGTTTGGAAACCTTGGAATAGAAGACTTTGTATGTAACAGGATAAAACCAATAAATATCGACGAAGTAAGCCAAGGAAGTCTTGGCTATTCCCTTGGGCGTCGCATTCACTGTTGTAATTAACTGAGATCAATTAGGTTTTCCCATATCCAATAATAGTTAATTTATCTTTTCAACATCCTAAATCGACAACAAAACAAAATACAAGTATGGTAATAATGATGTTTTTACATCTATAATAATTCTTAAATGTTAAAATCATATAAAAATACTTTTACAATAATACTACAAAAAAGTTGATGTTTGTATTTGATTTACTAGCAGATTTTAAGCTATTTTCGTTAGGTGAAATTGTAGCCTCCATTTGTACTTTTCACTAAAGTTGGTTAATAAATTTCTTATTAATACAATTGTATACCAAAAAGTTTCTTCAAATATTTCTATGTTCAAATTCAATTAATTTCAAGGCTTTCCAGAAATTTTCGAATTATTAACTTTCTTGAAACAGTTTCTATAACATCTTTAATAGAAACAAAAAAAAAAACATATTTTAACTTAATCTAACTAGAAACGGGCATATTTTTTTTATCAAACAATCTTCTTATTAATTGCTGTTTCTAAAATTGTCTACATTGTAAGTTCTAGTTTCATTAGTTTATTTAAGAAAAATAAGACAAATGTTGTTTCTACATTATTTGCTATTTATAAATACTCATAAATTAAGAAGTTTTGGCATGTTTATGTCTACTTAAGTAAACTTTAACCATGTTTTACAAAATATCAATTTATTACATAATTATTCCATTTCTTTTTATATTTTTAAGCCTTATTGAATAATTATTTTAATAAGATAATGCAATATACAAAATAACAGTTTTAGTTGAAATTGATTGAAACTGTAATTTATATACTGGAGTCAAAACAAATGCAGTAATTGACCACTTCTCTATTAAATCATCACGACGTAACGCACTACAGAGTATTGTAATGAAGTAATTTGTTTTTCCATTCCAGAAACGCTTGCAAACATGTTTACACCGAAGGGCGTGCGTCTCCATTCCAATTCTTTTTTAATAGGTCAAACAAAGACAAATAACCACACACGGTTTCATCCATAGCTGCAAAACAGATGATCTTAGATGATTTCATTATTAAAATCGGACAGCTAGAATTGTGTAAGGTCGAACAATAAAATCGCAGTTTGCCGAGCAATAACAAAATGCACAACGTATGCAATAAAACAATCCTTCTCTCGCTCTCTTCACATACATTCGACCATACGGAAAACGATTCATAAACTCGTGATCTTTGCATGTACAAAATAATGTAATATAGTGGACGAGCAAAATGAATTGTTAGAAAAATGACTGGCTTAACGAACGAAGTTTGATTGCGCGCCTGCTACATCATTTTTAAAACTTGTGTACACATATTAGTGTAATTATAAATATGCTTTACTATACAAGTATTTCACTATACGATTAAAAATCCGAAAATTTTGGAACGAATTAAACTCGATAAGCGAGGTTCCACTGAATATAACAATCTCAAGAATGCGCGAAAGAATTGATTGTTTCTGCCTCTCTACTCAAGCCACACGCAATAACAGCCAGCAACACACATTTCCTTCCGTCTCATAAGAGTGTTGCGTAAGCGCCAGGTTTTGGAAAGCGAGCAAATAGCCGGAATCGAAAGCGTTGTGTAGTGTTAGTAGTAGAGTCTTCGACGCCAAATAACATCGAATATGGTATTATTATTGGTTGGGATTAAATGATAACAATTGAACCATAAGCAAATAGAGGCAGAGCGGTAATTAAATGAAAATCATGTGCCCAATTTCCTATACTTTCGCTGTTATACTCAGTTTATTCAATTATTATTTTTATTATTGATGTTTATTTGGGCCAATTGCTTTTAATTGCTTTTCAAAAATAGTGAAACATGTGCGCGTGTTTGGGAAGTGCGAGGCTCTGGGAACCGTCCAAGATCGAAACCGAACGGGCAAGAAGGAAGGAAAAAAGACGCCATCGATTTATTCCGCGCGGAATCTCACTCCTCCTTCTCACTTTGACCCATATTGAAAACCCAACAAAATGGTGTCACATTCTTTGGCCCACTTTGCGATATTTAACAATCCACAAGAAACGCAGAAACACAACCAAAAAGCACACATTCCTCTTCATATTCTTATTATTTTTTTTTATTATTTAGACCTTAATTGAATTGCCTCTCTGCGATTATATCATCGCGTCCTCGAATGGAGCAAACAATCAATTTGCGTTTGGATTTCGTACAACGCGGTCTAAAATTAAACGGGAATATTAAAAATCGTGATGCATAACATACACAACCTTCCTCCACATATATATATTTTTTATACTTTGTCTAAATATTTATCGG